TTATTTTGGGCTCAGTTGTGATTCTTGTTTTTCTTTCCTAGTTTACTTGTAAGTTTCAAGGAGGGGCTGCAGCTCGCGCCTCTCACTGGGATGATGTATGAACTCACTCTAATTTGCTTCTGAATCAATAAACTTACTATTATTCATCAAAAAAACATTGTAAATAACATTATCCACAAAATAAGTTAATATTTCAATCATGGAAAACACTTGCAGAAAATGCAAAGAGGTGAACTTGTGGAATCAAGTTAAAATGGTGAAAAAGGAAGAAAATGGTAAGTAGCTCAACAAGAATCCATGCTAAATGTCAGGTTGGACTCAACTTAACTACAAAATTTACCCATCATTAGGAAAGGGGTGGGGGAATTGTTGAGCTTTTCTTTGGCTTCCAATGAATAGGTTGACAGACAAATGCTCCAGTTAACGTCCACCATAAAGGACTAACCATGATTTCAAATTCGTATTATTTGGGGTTTAAATTGAACCGCAGATAAAAGATTCAAATAGCAAGATCAAATCATTTTTTGGAATTACTGTACAATTTATTAGCATAAATCATGATTAGAAGCCGAATCAGGCAATTTAATATGAATAATGTTTTAAAGAGTAAAAGATATTTTAGTCCTTGCTTTGAACTTTCTTTTAATTTGGTGAGGGGTATGCATGTAGCCAAATAGGTAGGTTGAATTTTTAAGCTTCTTTTATGCTTTGAAAACAGGGAGCATGCCCCATCTTCTTCTCTTCCTTTTGTGTTAGGGAGAGGAAAACAGGGACTTCGCCCCAACCTTGTCTCTTTCTTTTATGCTATGAAATCAGGGGTTCATCTCCATTTTCCTCTCTGTTTCAATATGTGAAATGCATTAGGGAGTAAGGACTTTTATGTGACATGAAAGAAGAGGATCCACCCCACATTTGTCCTCTACTTTTCTAATTTGTAAACAAGGGTCCCCCATATTTTTCTTATTCTTTATGCCATGGTTTATGTAACAGAATATTGCACTTTTTTAATATAGTTAGATTTTTGTTCTAAAAAGGAACTTTATAGTAATTTTTTGGCTTATCTCAGTATGGTTAGTGTTGATGAATCTTTAGTTGTGCAAATTGACTCTTAGTTTTTGTTATCTTAGTATATTACAAAATGTTCTCCAATAGATTCTTATACTTCTTGTCAACTTCTTTTAATGTCAGAAGCCAAAAGGTAAAGATCATTCTCAATCAATATTGAGATTGCCAAAAATGTTTTGCTTTCAGATGGTATAGTATTGTTCTCAGTCTCAAATATTAAAATGACTCTGCAACATGAATATGACATAACTGTGTGGTTGTTTGAATCATTTAGTTCTTATATACATGTTGTCTTAGTTTATCCAGAAACCAGTTCTTGTTTACATGAAGATGACATAATGGTTCTTGAATTATTCTATTGTTACATACATACATTTTCTCTTTGTTGAAGTCCTGTATCATAGTTCCCTATGCCTCAATTGTCAATATCTTTAATGTTTGAGAAAGCACTAGATATTAAAGTTATGAGTTATGATTGTTGTCTTAGCTTATTCAGTTCTTGTTTACATGAAGATGACAAAATGGTTCTTGAATTACTCCATTGTTACATGTATTTCCTCTTTGTTTAAATCCTTTGTCTTAGTGTTCCCTATGGCTTAATCGTCATCATCATCATCATCATCATCCAAACTTTATCCCAACTATAAGGGTCGGCTACATGAATCCTGTTTTGCCAGTCTGATCTGTTCCATATCCATTGTTAAATTATTGGCACTTACTTCTTACCATGTCCCTTTTGATCTACCCCTTGCCCTTCTAGAAGCCCCTTCAACTCTTTTGATAGATAAAATTCATTAGATTTCATTAGAAGCAAAGGATAAAGAGCCTGTTACAAGCATCCCAGTAGGAGGCGTGAGGTGCAGCCTCACTCATTAATACAGAAACAACAAATTTACAAGTGGGCCCAGTACAACTGATCCCTAGTTACTCCTTGCTTAGCTAGAGAATCAGCAAAAGCATTAGCTTCCCTTCCCACCAATTGTATAGTTAAATTTATCTGCTGAGTTATCCATTTGAATTTCTTCATTTCATTTCTGTAACACCAAATCACTGAATCTGGTTTTTAGTAGCCAACCCACCACCACCTTGGAGTCCCCTTCTATCACCAAATTCTCAAATCCTAACTCTCTTGCAATCAGGACGCCTTGTAGGGCTGCGTACAGTTCTGCCTTAAGGAGTCTCCATTCCCCACCAGTCCTGAAAAGAGTGCTCTTAAGTTTCCTTCCTTGTCTCTGATGGTCCCTCCTATTCCAGCTGGGTCTGGGTTGCCTTGAGTACTCCCATCGAAGTTTAGCTTCAGAAATCCTTCAATGGGAGGTGTCCAAACCATCATTGCTTTAACCTCTGCAATGAACTAGAAGCCAGTAAAGGCCAAAGAGTGCTCTTAAGTTTCTTTCCTTGCCTCTGATGGCCCCTCCCATTCCAGCTGGGCCTGGGTTGCCTTGACTACTCCC